ATCGACTTTATTTATTTTAGAAAGAAAAACAAAAGTGGAGAATACGATTCGCTAACCCTCCCCCCCCCTGTGAAATTCTGAATGATTCTAAAAAGAAGAATTTTTTAAATCCTTTTACTGTCATGGAGTATTAGTGTTAGTGTAAAAAAAGTACATGCAGTATATAGTAAATAAGTATTCTACATTGTTATTTCCTTGGACTTTTTATTATCCATTGAGCTATAATTTAATATAAATCGTCATCACATTTTATTCAAATTTACTCTCCCAATAACACCAACTTTGGAATTAAATTTCATAATGAGAAACATTTTTAAAATAACCATTCCTTGCCACCAGCTGTGAGGGAATATATAAAACGTTTGAAGTGTTTGTGATATTGAGCTGATCGATCAGCTGATGCGCAAGGTCGTATTTCCAGCTTGGCTCTTAGAATTTACTGATTTTCAGAAGAATGTATGTATGTAATTATTCACTCTACATAGGTCAACGATACTCCAGAAGAGTTGATATTTACTGTGTACAGTTATAAACATTTTTTTTTATCTTACCATGGTCATGACTAGCGGAGTGTCTTATAAGACAACTAGGCCATTAGGCTCGACACATCGATCTTCTTCTGCTAAACAAAAGCATCGTCAAACTCATCAAACACCTCCAATGTCCCTGTTAGCTCCGAAGAACATGAAACCCAGCCAGGTACATTTTCGCAAGAATTGTCGATGAATCACCCTTTTTTACACTAATCCCAAATCTACTTGAAAAAAAATCTATTTATTGAATAATAATACAATTAGCCACTGCTAGAGGGCTATAAGTATTAGGGCTAAAAGCTCTCATTCATACAATACGAGTCCCATATCAGATGGTTCATAATGACGGAAAGGTAATAGAGTCGGCACCGATACCTAGAGAATCCCGAATATTTACCAAGAGAAAATATTTTCAGTTACTATGTTCTCAACTAAATAAAATAGGAGGCTCTGAAAGCTACTCATGTCTAAGCAGAATAAATGACAACAAAATACAACCAGTGGCGGATCCAGGAATTTTCTCAGGGGGGGGGCATTACGTGCTTCTCCCACCCCTATCCGTTCCCCCACCACTACTCATTTCCCTCCACTCCTTAGCGGAGATTAGCCGATCAAAAGCACTCTGTAAGTGGTTTTAACAAAAGCAAACTCTATTTTTATTTAAAGTAAATTTTGACTTGTTTTTAGTGAAGCCATTATTAATTACTTAAATTGAATTTTTTTTATTACTTCCTATCACAAAACTTTAATTCCCTACTTTCTTGCTAAAAATCGGACCATTGTATATATACATTTTTTCGTATTTATTGAATTTTGCTCTCACTCATTTAAATATTTCCCTCTACCTACGAAACCTGTACCTAGTATATGGGTTTAGACATGTAAAAAACTAAATTGCTAACACGGGTTACCAAGAGAAAATTTTTTACAGCCGAAAATTCCAGATTTATTTAATCTTTTTTTTATGTATTACCACCAAACAGTGCATCAAAGCGAAAAACGTATTTTTTAAGAAATTAAAAAACGTCAAATTGTCCTTTGAACGAGTACCTAAACTTAACAATCTGATTAAGTTATAGGGTCCATAACCATGGCCAACGTTATTTTTTACCGATATTGTCAAAATCGGCATTTGATTAAGCTGAGAAATATTACTGTAAATGGCATTGCAGCTTGGAAATGAATTCTCTAAGAAAAAAAAAACTACGAATTAAAAAAATAATTTCCGATTCCGATCAAATCGGTGACCAAATAATAATTACATTCCTTCATGAAAACGTCCCCAACAGCATCTATTTTAATAAAAGAGCAACACATTCTAACGAGAAATATACAAATTATTATCGTGACCAGTTTCATGGATTCTTCAAGGAGATTATAGTTGCTGGGTTGCATTGCGTTCAGTTCTATTGAAACTGAGTAAAAACTTGGTTCGGAAGAAAATCCGTGTTTTCTTGTGCTCGAATAAAAGGTGGCTCGAAAGAATAAATTGATTTTTTTTAAATAAATTTTCCTTCATCATTTCATTTCACCTGCGATACTCAGTCCGGAATCAATAGGAAGTGTTAATTTATTTTATTTTTAATTTTCAACAATATTCGGTTGATTGTTACTTTAGTTTGTCTCATAAAATGAAACCAATTAATAATTATATGTATATATTCTTAGGCCCATAGATTATTTTGTTTATATTCAACAGGTCAATAGTTTATACTTAAGTGCTAGATTCAGGTCATAAGGCGGTAGAATTGACAATAGACAGTCTGACTCCGCCCGTCAACGAACTGGGTACTGCCTACTGCAACACTGCCCACTGCAGTTCTACTCTGAAGAGACTTACTTTTCTCGTCGTGCTCGCCGTTACCCATTTGCAGATTTAATTATATGAGCGCTCATATTGAACCTACGTTCAGTCGCTGAAGAAGGATTGGAGTGCCAGCGGTTCGTCCATATCTACGACCGTCAAATGCTTACGACCACGTAAAGTTGTTCCATTTGTATTGCTTTGTTTTGTATAATTCTTACATTAGGGTAAATATATATTTGTTAATTTTTCCATAATCAAACATCCAACTATTTTATTAGATATTTCATAATTATTATTAACATTGTATTTAGCTTATAGTTATTTTCATTTTAGAAGTTATTACTTTATTTTATCTATTGATACAAGTGTAAAATTGATTTCATTTTATTTTTTATGTTTTCATTATTATCAAAATACAGTCCATTTTCTTTTAAATTACAATCAACTTAATTTATACAATCAACAAATAATAGTTAGGCTTCATTCGAAGTTGATTTGTACTAAGAGGGAGCCTAACACTTTATAATAGCCCAATATTGCCAGAAAATAATTTATATAATTTAAGTAGAAAAAATAAACATATATTTCTAAAGAAAAGTGGATTTCAATTATTAATACATTTAATTGGCTTGGGTCCTCAATTATATCATATTATATAAAAGGACATTGGTTTTTCGTTTGTTACAGGTAACCGAAAAAACTTCTCGAATGTCCAACAAGCAAGTCTGCTCAGATTGTTTCTTTTTTCAGGACATGAAAACAGCAAATGACAGCAAAAGTGCCTATCCTCCCCAAGGCCGATGGCGCATAAACATTTCCCCCTCCCGCCTAAGATATTTTATTCCTCTCTTGTTAAAAACAGTGCAAACGAAAGTAGAATTTGAATATTCGTAGATTATATACTATAACACATCCTACGGTCTGTTCCATGATTCCACTTGTCTTTTGATTTGAAACTTTTCATTTTGAAATTCAGAACCGGTTCGGATTGCTCCCCCCTCAAAAATTGGAAACCCCGTCAAAAAGTGCACTCTTCATTAATTTTGAAATCCTCTTCTGGGCATCCCGTTGAATTGTATCTGGCACTGCTACTTTCATCAGCTAACAATGAAATAATGCTCAAAATCTTTCGGTTTATTAGCGAGGCCCTCAAATTGAGATTTTTTAGTTTGAACGAATATGACATCTTTAATCGATTGTTATTTTATTGTTTATTGTGTTTTATTAATATATATTATAGATTTATTAACATAGATTACATTTATTAACATACAACCAAAAATTATTTCCTTCATACTTTTAATCATATTATTACAGTTTCGGAAACCTGGCTCAAACCTAATATTCCCTCTTCTTCTTTATCCCGTCCTAACTATGCTCTCATCCGTCATGATCGAATAGATCGAACAGGTGGTGGTGTTAGTCTTTATGTTCATGAGAGTCTGAGGGCAAATATCCTGCATAAATTTCCCTCTATCGACTTTTCTCACTTAGAGTATTTATTTGTAGAAATTTTCTCAAATTTCTTTTCTCTCCTTTATGTCATTACATATCATCCTCCCCATGTCCAATTTGATCCTTCCTTTGAATCCTTCCTATTTACCTTTAAAACGATTGAAAAAAACTTCTGAAAAACTAAATCCTTTCCTTGAATCACTAGCTCAATCCTTAAATCCGATCTATTCCTATCACTCTTTGATGAAATGGTGAAGAGTCTTTCCTCCAACCTTCTCCTGTTCCTAAATCAACAAGCACCCTGAAAGACGTCGACCATCAGACACCTGTTGCTCTTTGTATCAATCCAGAAATAAAAGAGTTGTTGAAGAGCAGAGACGCTGGAAGGAGGCGTTTCAGACGAACACGTAATCCGGATGACTGCTTTTTTTAAAAGACTCTTCGAAACCTTACCCAATCTTCCTTGCGACGTGCTAAGGCACAATTCTTTCACACTTCCTTATCACAAGCCTTAGATCCTAAGTCCAGATGACCTCTCCGTGGTAAAATCAAAAACCTGTACTCTCTTCCCTGTTTCTTCAAATCAACAGTAAATTTCCACTTTGTCGATCCTAACTCGTTATCCGCTTTCCTCCTCATATTTGTTAACGTTCGAGTAAAATCGGCTGAAATCGACTAATTGAACTGTTTTTGCATATGAATTAAAATATCTCAAAAACTAAAAATCGGACCTGCATATTGTTAGCGAGGGAAATGTTCATCATTTCATTCTATTTGTAATGAGCTATTATTTATAATGTATATTTTATATTATTAATCTCACCTTGTTGCTGTTTTCACTTCTATCGTGTGTAGCTTAGTGCACACACCTTAGTTTTATAATTACTAAGGGGGTACCCACTGTCTGACTGATTTCAATTTCACTAATTATACAACTGTTAATTTAATTGTACTACTCGTTGCTCAATTGTATAACTTTAACTTACATGTATTATGTAGTTGAGATTGTATTATTTATAGTTATTTTAGTTTTAGGATTGAGAAGTTTCTGGAAATAACCTTTTCAGATGCTCATTATAATTTCTTAAGATGCCGTCAGAGTGTCATATTTTCCTTGCATTTGCACATTTCTCGCTTTATATCCTATCCTTTCTTTTCTAATATCTGCGAAGAATTTGCGTATATCTCTAGCCTGCCAGTTCTCCTTAATGGTCTGCAATGGTTCTTTTTGCAGGTCTTATAATTTTGTTTTCCTCTTTCTTGCTAGCCGTGCACTTGACCTGAGCAACTTGATCGGTTGTAGTTAGGCAGAGGACTTTATTTCCTTTCCTCTTCCCATATTTTCTAGATTAGTTGTAGTAGCTTGGCTTTAGATTCTTCTCCCTCCTCTTTGAACAGTTCTGATGGTAGTTTGTCCGTTCCTGGGGCCTGGCTTGTTTTAAGCCTTTCTATAGCTTTTTTCATATTCATTATGACTTCAACATCTACTGGTTCGAGGTCCTCAAAGTGGTCTGTCTTCTTCGTTCGTGAGATCTGCTGGCTATTTCTTTCCAGATGCTCAGTATATTTTATTTATTTAACGTCAGGATGCTATATTTTTCTCAAATTTGTATATTTCTAGCTTTGTATCTTACCCTTTCTTTAATAATGAATTCGTAAGATTTGCAAATCTCCAGCATGCCAGTTGTCCACAATGGTTTATAACCATTCTTTGAGGAATTCCTTTTTTGACAATCATTACCTTGTTTGTCTTTTTCTTGATGTTTGTATAATCATTCAAAATAACTTCAGTTTTGGCCGGGCAGATGACTTTGGGTTTTTTCGTTTTGATGTATTGCCTTTTAGCATGCTTCTGTTAATCAATTGTTTAAATTCATTTAAAAATTGTTATCATATTATCAAACATTTGTTATAGAATACCGCGAACGAGATTTGAACTCATGAAATTTATGTTTAGATAAAAATAAAATAAACAATAAACAAATAAAAATAAATAAGTTCTATACAACCTGGCACGGTGTTCTTCTATGTCAGCACAGGATACCACAACATGTTTTGCCGTTTCGGTGACTCCACAGTCCACAGGTGGAGTACCGGGGATCGATGTTCTTTCCATGTGCCTGTTGTTTCCTTCGGAAGCCTCCGTGTCCTATCAGGATCTGTGAGACACAATAGTCTGGGAGGACTCAGTTAGCTTTTACTCTCTAGTGGACGGTAGTGAAGAATTTCCTCAATGTTGAGCCCTTCTGGCAAGTAACCCACCGCCTATTGTATTCTTCGATGTAGTCCTTCCTAACGATCTTCTTCCAAAGGTTCATTAAAAGTCATATTTTTAAACTTTTGTTATACAATACCGTGAACGAGATTTGATCTCATAACATTTCAACACCTGTGCTGCCTCATGTGAATCAGTAGAGCCAATCGCTGGATGGTAGCCTGTCTCCTCTTCTACTGCAGTGTGAGGTTTCTGCTCCACGCAGGGGATGCGTACCTCAAGATCCCGAAGGCCCCATACGCACCGTCTTTCCTGCTTAGTCTTTTTATTGAATGGGTCACCGTACCCCTTAATCTGAGGTACGCCACTTCTTCACCCACTCTTACTTTCTTTCCTTGTATGTAGATAATACTAGCGGCATATTAGTAATGTTTAAAATATAAAACAGTCAGCCATATCCCAGTAATTGTCATACGCAAAATAAAGAATTTTTCAATCTATTTGTTTACTGCTCCGTTATTATGGTGTTTATTATGAAGTTGCAAAGCCTACGGGCTTTTTCACTAAATGGTCTATCCGACACAAAAAGATTTTTTTAAATTGATTTGTAGTTCCCGAAATTAGCCTGTACAAACCAACTCTCTGGCTTTATATATTAAAGTTAAAATTGATTTTTTATTTTCAGGCCATGGGTAGAATTAGTCGATCCACTTGTGCAGATTGGTATAAAATGCGAAATCTTCAGTGAATTCAGAAAAATTGTAATTTCCTCATTCGATATCAAATTTTCAAAAGCTATGGTTAACAAAACATCTCTAGATGACACCTCTACCAAATCTATAGAACATGTTTTAGGCGTTAGAATGGCGGATTACGCCGTGTCACAATCATTTACAGTGGGTAAACTATTCGCAGTGAAAAAGAGACTAGTGATTGGAGCCTTAGAGGAGATTTTTAAGAATTATATTTATAGATTAGTTTGAATTGTAATTTTATTGAAAAACGAATTATGAATTGTCTATAATTATATATTAGGTTTGTAAAGAATAAAATTGTTTCCTCCATCTCTTGTCTATTTTTTTTTTCATCTGTATTTTTTAAACAAAACCCATTAAAACTAATTACATCATTAGTTATGATGGTTTGCGCGACACAGAAAGCGTAATTTTTTTTTTAGCCTAGAACCAAGTAATTCAACCCTTTCGTTTGTTACAGCTGAATTTCTAACCTGATACCCCCCAAAATTTAATCTTGGAACTGCTACTGTGTATCAGTAAGTAGGTCTAAGATTGCATCATTAAAGTTCTCTGGTTGGTAGATCTGTACCGTAAATCAGCCACAGCCTTCTGGCCGAATGGCAGGCTGGGGGCATTTGGGTACCTTATTACTTTTTGAGTCGTACCTCATAACATCAATACTACAAAAGTAACAATCAACAAAAAGTGGTTCCTAAGCTCTCTCCATATCGTTGGAGCAGCAAAGCTAAACTTATTTCATCATTTCCGAAAATCTTCAATACACACATAACATCCCTTTTGCTGCGTGGAGTTAAACACCAAAATATGAGAAACATGCTTTCTTCACGGACCCTGTTATGTTTTTTTTTTCACATACCTACCACAAATATAACAGAAACTATCAGCAGCGTTTATACAACGACGTCCAGACATCATAGTGAGCTCATGCATTTAATGAAAGTGAGGTTATGTTATGTTGACTATCAACAAATATGAGCAGTGCTGCCAACCTTCTTGAAACTATTTTTAATGTTTTAAGCAGACCCTACACGGTAATTCATGAATGAACGTCACAAGAAGTTCCAAGATTGCCCGCTAACGCTTTGATCATGAAGACACTTACACGTTCAATCATTGCTGATCATTACTTATCGTTGTTGATTTAGGTTAGATCGTTGCTGACCAATTTAGCGCAGTTGTAAACAAAGAAACAGCATAGATATGCTTATTTGGACATTGTCATTTATATTATTGGGCATCAAGAGAAAAACGGAGATATAATAATTACTTCCTAGTGCCTGAAAATCGTTTAGACCAAAGTTAGAAAAATGTAAGTCAACTAGATACAAAAATCTAGAAAAAGTATTGCGAAAATAATCAATTTGTTAAGAACAATGGAAAAATTAATGGCAAATAAACACAACAGTTAAAGATTTTTTTTCCATAAGAAAATTGTGAAGTTTCCACTTTTTTTTCTCTTCAATTTATTGCCTACTTGACTATTTAAAGAAAAGTAGTTGAAAATGGTTAATAACAATATAGACTTGGGATATAAACAACTATTTACTTTTATGAAATTATTTACTTAATAACGAGACCTAGGTAAACTAACCTATCTAGTAGTAGTCTCATAGAAAATCGTTTTGACAAAAGTTAGTAAAATATAAGTCTACTACATACATTACATTTTTGGCACAACATCCCGTTACCGAGACTGGGCCTCCTCCAAGAGCCTCCGCCAGTTGGCTCTGTCTTCTGCTGCAGCTCTCCAGTTCCGTACACCAAGCAGGGTTCTCGCATCATAGGCCACGTTGTCCAACCATCTCGTCTTCGGCCTTCCTACCCGTCTTACGAGGTGCAGCTCCTCCATCATTATTTTTTTTGGTATTTCACCGGTGCTCATTCTGGCCACATGCCCTGCCCACCTTAGTCTGGCCAGTTTAATATACGTGACTACGTCGATGTCTGCATAGAGAGAACTGAGCTCCCTATTTTTTCTTTTCCTCCAGACATCACCCTCCTTTACTGGACCATAAATCCTTCTGAGGACTCCTCGCTCAAAGACACTCAGCTTCATCTCATCCCTTTTAGTCATCGTCCAAGCCTCTGAGCCATATGTCAAAACAGGCCGAACAAGGGTCTTGTATATGATCAGCTTGGTCTTCTTTGAGAGGTACCTACTTCTTAAGTGTCGGCCAAGTCCAAAGACACATCTATTGGCAGCCGTGATCCTTCTTTGTATTTCTTGAGCCATGTCATTCTTGCTATTAATTTCAGACCCAAGGTATATAAAACTTTTCACTCTCTCAAACTTAAAAGAACCTACCTCAAATGGAGAGTTCAGATCCACCTCACCACCAACTCTCACATACTTAGTTTTCCGCTCGTTGACTTCTAGACCAAGTGGTCTTGCAGCTGCTTCAAGGCTTATAAACGCTTCTCTGAGAGCCCGTTCAGACCTACCTATTATGTCAATATCATCAGCAAAACCAAGAAGCTGTGTCAGGCGATTGAAGATTATATCTTTGGTCTGAATACCGGAGTCTCTTACAGCTTTCTCCTCTGCCAAGTTGAACAATAGACAGGCGAGGGCATCCCCTTGCCTAACTCCACTGCTCACTTTAAACTCTTCGGAGTCGTCAGAACCGACGCGTATTCTACATCTCGAGCTGTCCATAGTCATCTTGATTAGGCGTACGAGCTTCTGAGGGATGCTTAGCTCCTCCAAGGCACAGTATAGTTGCGTTCTATCAACGCTGTCGTATGCTGCTTTAAAGTCCAGGAATAAATGGTGGGTGACTACCTTGCGCTCCATAGTCTTTTCTAGGATCATCCTCAGAGAGAACAGTTGATCAGTCGTTGAGCGTCCTCTTCGAAATCCAGCCTGATATTTCCCCAGTTCCTTTTCAGAATACGGGAGGATCCTCTCAAAAAGAATGTTAGAGAGCAGCTTATAAGCACACGAAAGGAGTGAGATTCCTCGATAGTTAGCGCATTCTGTTTGATCTCCTTTCTTATGTATTGGGCAGATAATGGCTGTTGCCCATTCCGTAGGCATAGCTTCCCTCTCCTAGATGGTCAGCATTAAATCATGCAGAGCTTTCTTGAGTTCTTGACCTCCACATTTCAACAGCTCTGACTGGATTCCGTCCGGGCCTGGCGCCTTTCCATTTTTCAATTTCCTCAGGGCGTTTTCCATTTCCTCCTCATCCGGGGGTTCGATAGAATTTAGGGAGTCTTCCTTCATTACACCTACTTCTCCAGGCACCGTTCCTCTGTTTAATGCGCCTTTGAAATGTTGCACCCATCTCCCTAGTACGTCATCTTTGTGGCTTAAAAGAGTTCCATTTGTATCTTTGCATGCCGTCACTCTGGGCCTAAAAGCTGCCCTACCCTCGTTTATTATCTGAAAGAACAGGCGACTTTCATTTTGGCCACGCAATGTCTCTGTGTCCTCCATGTTCTTATTTTCCCAAGCTCTTCTCTTTCCGCGGAATAATCTCTTCTCTTCGCGTCTTTTTCTTCGATATGTTTCTTGGGAGAGCCTCGTGGGACGCTGAACCCTCCTTCTGTAGGCTTCATTTTTCACTTTTACTGCTTGAAGGCAATCAGCATCAAACCATGGGGGCCTTCTAGATTTAGTCTCGTAGCCAAGAGCTTCTTCTGCTGCCTGTTTCATTGCGTTGCTGCATCTCTTCCACTGTTCATCGACCATAGAGCTGTCATTAATTACTTCTTCATTAAGTTTCGTCTGCACAGCTTGTTGATACGAATATTGGTGGTCTGAGTCCTTAAGTTTAACCACATCAATCTTCTTCTTTGGTCGTTGGTAGTGGTTTTTAATCAGCGAAATTCGTGATCTGACCTCGGCAATGCTCAAATAGTGATCCGTGTCCATATTTGCACCTCTATAAGTCTACTACTTACAAAAATTAAGGAAAGGTATTGCGAAAATAATAAATTTGTTGAGGAAAATGGGAAAAGAACTATTTAAAAGAACTTACTAATTTAAACTTGACTATTTAAAAGAAATAGTTGAAGATGGTTTAAAATTATAAAGAAGGGATATGAAAAATTGTTTAACTATTTACATATAATGAAATACAGAAATTTATAATGGTTGTGAGGCCTAGGTAACCTAACCTATCCAGCAGTATGGTTAGTCTCCCCACTACTTTTACCTCAGTCCCCCCTCCACTTCTCGTGAATGAACTTTTGATTTCCGGATGTTCGGAAATCCGCAGCGCACCACCATCAGTACTTCATTCACTACCTTACACGACAATTCGGAACGTCATTTGTGCAATTCCGATTGACCGTGTAGGGTCCCCTATAGATAGTTATATAAATCTCCATTTATTGTTAATTTAACAGTATCAGAACTAGTTATAGCATTTTAATTAACATATAAAATGCAATTAAATTTGCTAAATACGTATTTATTAAATAATATGACTTAAAAATGTGAAACATTGCGAGTGATGCAGATTTTTAAATGTCATATTCGGGCTTTTTGCACTAAAATCCATTTAAAAGATGTATTCTCATTCAAAAAGTTTTTTCATGCTTGGCCGATCGTTGGCCTCGTTTCGTCCCGGTCTCAGTACATTTGGCTAAGCAATTGATTAGATTCTAGCAGAAGTGAAAAGGAATGAATCAGAAATGGAATGTTGATAGAAATATCACTGCTTTTAGCAGTTTTTACATAATTAGCACTGGGTACATAATCAGTACTGGGTACATAATTAGCTATGTGTATTTTAAGGTCTAATTATTTGTTTGAAATTAAATAAATAAAATCATTTGAAAAATCTACGTACGTGCGGTTTTTTTTAGCTTTGCCATTGAAAAACATATAATAATTAATACAGCTAAAAATTTAATAGATAAGGCAAGATTAATAAATGATCAAAATCATATAAAAGAAATCAGGTCCTAACCTGGTCCACTATGACATAATAAAAAACCTGCCAGGTAATACACTGGAATGGCTGCTCGGATATTATAATCATCTCTGGTCCACTGGACAGTTCCCGAATAAATGGCGTGATTCAGTTGTCATCCCTATCCTGAAAAGTACTTTAGGATTCTCCAGTCATGTCAAACAAAGACTCAAGCTGGCAAAACAAAAGTCACATAGGCTCTACCACCTGCTGAAGTCGCCGCAGCTCTCGCTGAGACTAAAACTTCAGATATACAAGGCGGTCATCAGACCTACACTGCTCTATGGTGCACCGCTTCTCCGACACCTTTACCAGACGACACTCCAGAGACTGCAGGGATTCCAAAACTCCGTCCTTCGGCGAATAGTCAGAGGTACCCATCTTCAGCGATCCAGGAACAGAGACATCTACCAGGACTACTACAGGACTATCCAACTACCCTCGGTCCCGGAATTCATTGGCCAGAGGCACATCAAATTTTTTGATGGGCTTAAGGCCTGTGCAAATCCATTATTCCAAGAAATCGCCCCACAGCCCAGGCCTGGAAGGTGGCAAGGCAAAGTCCCCCTGGTAGATGTCTTTGACGAAGGAGGGGGTCTGGACGCGGCAGTCTGAACCCTCACATTTGTACATAGTGTAAATATATAATTGTAAATATGTAAATATATCCTCATCCCTATCCTTTATGAATAAAGCAGGGCGGTCCCTCCACGCCCGGTGATGAAATTAAGGCCTAAGGCCACAGAAAGTATCCTATGCTTTCGGCATAAACTGTCATTTACCTTAAAATACCCTTGGGTAAGCAAAGGTCAAGGAATAATGTATATATACATTCATAGATGTATGTTGTAAGTAGTGTTAAATAAAGTTTCTGGGGGGTCAGAAAAAAAAAAAAAACGCCTCACATAGTTCTGTAAGATGGCCCATATCAAGCAGACCGCTAGGAAATCGACAGGAGGCAAAGCTCCGAGGAAGCAGCTGGCAACCAAAGCCGCCAGGAAGAGTGCTCCGGCCACCGGAGGTGTAAAGAAGCATCACAGGTATAGGCCCGGTACAGTCGCTCTCAGACAAATCAGGAGGTACCAGAAGAATACCGAGCTGGTCATCAGGAAACTCCCGTTCCAGAGGTTGGTGAGGGAGATCGCCCAGGACTTCAAGACCGACCTGAGGTTCTAGAGCTCGGCCGTCCTGGCCCTCCAGGAGGCCAGCGAAGCCTATCTCGTAGGTCTCTTCGAGGATACCAACTTGTGCGCCATCCACGCCAAGAGGGTGACCATCATGCCTAAGGATATCCAGCTGGCTCGCCGTATCCGCGGAGAACGAGCCTAAGGGCTGTCCGCACCCTGCCGTACTTTCAACGGCCCTTTTCAGGGCCACCAAATGTGCACTAATCCCTTTCTGATGGAAAATCTGTGGAATTAGAGACTCCTTATCGGTCTTATCCGTATTCGAATATATTTTATCCAACTTCTTGCAGCGGCGCCAAACAGAAACACACCCTCAAACCATAACATGTCCTCCACCATGCTTTACAGTTGTTAAAACATTTTGCTTCTTTAGGGCTTCATTACGATGTCGCCATATCGTCCTTCGACCATCTGAACCAAACAAATTTTATTTTGCTTTCGTCAGAAACATGACATTTTCCCAAAAGGGTAAGGGTTTCTGTACGTACTCCCTAGCAAAAACAAAGGGTTTTTGCGATTCGTTTCACTGATGTATGGCTTCTTTCTTGGAACTCTATCAAGGAGCCCTTCCGAATTTAGGGCGTATCTAATTGTTCTGCTAGTAATCTGAACTCCAGACGTTGATTGGACCATGGTAGTCAGGCTCCCGAGAACTTATCAGAGGATTTTTAGGAGTTAACTTTTTTGGACGCCCTTTACGGTCACTGTTTTCAGTTGAACCGCGTTCTTCATACCTTTTTATGGCGTATCTCACTGTCAATTCAACCCTAAGAAATCGGCATATTATATGATATGATATGAATAAAAAAATCAAAAACAATTCAAAAGAAAAATAACAATATTAAAATACATTAATAAATAAAAAACATAAAAAAATCGCCAAAATAAAAATATAAAAACATTGCAATATCTAGCAGCTAATTAATTATAAATATATGGATTGTTATTTACTAATATCCACAAATTAATAACATGATTTTATTTTATTTTATTTAGGTTCAGTGTAATATTAGATGTGAAATAAGTTGTTTCAGAGATACTTAGAAGATATAAGATTTACTATTTTTTTAATTTTTATTAGAAATTCCAAAAATGGCTAACTAAAAACGAAACGTAAAATAACAAATAATTTTTTCTTAATTTATAGTAAAATTTGTTGGATGGGGTGTTTGTGGGATTTCGAAACTTAAATCTGTCATTGATTAAATATTTAAAAAAATTAAATAACGATTAAATAATCAACAATCGGATAAATAATTGTTTATCTTAAAGTTTATTGATATTGCTATAAAGTTCAAAATTAATATTATTATTTATGTTCAATTTCTTTTATTGTTTTCATTTTCTTTTGATATAACATATATTTTGATTTCAAATATTTATTCCTATTTTCTTGTACTTTTACTGCATTATCATTAATAATTAGTTTCCGGGGATAAAGTTTATTATTTAATATTTCAAATATCTTGTCTTTAATTTTCTGTGTTAATTATATTTTATTTTAAATGGAATTAGTACTGATATTTATGGACCGTCGTGTTGAAAAATCGGTTTGGAAACAAACCAGTTTGAAATTCACACGACGTCGTGTTGGGCGGGTTTGCCTATCCACGCCCCTTCCATCAAACCGTTGGTTTAATGTAATTCATTAAAATAATTTTAATATAAATTTCAAAATCATGCAATTAATGAGCAGACAAAAATAGATTTTTATTAGAGAATGGTATTGGATAATTTATTTATTTATTGGCAAGAATAAAAAAAATGAAAAATAAATTAGTAAATTAATATGTTAATTTATTCGGTAATCTTTTTTATTTAAACATTTATGCAATAGTCATGGATTAAAATTAATAATTTAACGATATATTTCCAACGTTATCTATGAATTATAATATATGACTATAATTGCTGAAACAAATTGCAAAAGAAATAAACGATAACTTAAAGATATTGAAACCATAGTTAAATAAAATGAATAAAAAAGTCTTTGGCTGACAAAAGGTATGGATTTAATTAATCTCTCCAAATTATTTACTATATTTAATTAAAATAGTATCAATATGAATTCTAGTTAAATGAAATTAATGAATAGAAAAAAAAAAATATTTTTACAGAATGTTTTGTATAATTTTATTTAGGACTGATAGGGACTGAAGAAACACAATGTTTATTATTATTTAAACTTTAATGAATTCTCAAGTTAATTATTTTCCTTTTGATTAAATTTATTCTCAAAATTTGATTTTGTTCTCTTGAAGATATTTTTTTTCTCTGTTAATTTAATCATTATTATAAAAGTTTTTTATTTATGTTTTTGATGGACAATTTTTTTGTTTTTCACTAAATATTATATTTAAGTTATATTTTATTTCACTGCATTTGAATATTTTTTGTTCTTCTCATTTGTTTCTTTATCTTTTATCTCAATAAATGTTGTAACCATTTAGAAGGTGCTTTTTCATGTTCCATTTTTTGAATATTTTTATTTAATTAATTTATATTATTTTGTAGGTTATTTAGATGATTTATTTTTTCGTCTTTGAATTCATGAGACTAAAGAAGTTGGATAAAATATATTCGAATACGGATAAAACCGATGTGGAGTCTCTAATTCCACAGATTTTTTTGTTAGAAAGGGATTAGTGCACATTTGGTGGCCCTGAAAAGGGCCATTGAAAGCACGCCAGGGTGCGGACAGCCCTTAGGCTCGTTTTCCGCGGAGACGGCGAGCCAGCTGGATATCCTTAGGCATAATAGTCACCCTCTTGGCCTGGAGGGCGCACAAGTTGGTATCCTCGAAGAGACCTACGAGATAGGCTTCGCTGGCCTCCTGGAGGGCCAGGACGGCCGAGCTCTGGAACCTCAGGTCGGTCTTGAAGTCCTGGGCGATCTCCCTCACCAACCTCTGGAACGGGAGTTTCTGATGAGCAGCTCGATACTCTTCTGGTACCTCCTGATTTGTCTGAGAGCGACTGTACCGGGCCTATACCTGTGAGGCTTCTTTACACCCCCGGTGGCTATTATTACAGCTTTAACTATTACAGCTACTCGATATGCCGTGACAAACTGAGTTTATCAATTTTTTTTTTTTTTTTTTTTCTTCTTACCCTCCATAAGTAAACCATACAATTTACTGTATATGTATACACAGAAGTATACATATACTCAGAGTATGCTTACCTTTTTTTACCCGAAGGTATTTTAAGGTATAATTTGGCTAAGTGTGCTGAAGGCACTTTATACACTTGTGGCCAGTGGCCTTAATTTTAATATTGAGCAAGGAGGGACAGCTCAGCAGGTTTATTTTATTTATTTACAAATATATACAATACAAATATTTACAATATATACATTTGGATCTGGACTCAAGGGTCCAGACCACATCCTTCGGCGAATATGTCCACCAAAGGGAGTTTACCCTGCCACCTTCCTGGTCTGGTTGGTGGTGAAATGACATTAAATAGTGGGTTGGCACAGGCCTTCAGCCCATCAAAGAATTTGATGTGCCTCCGGCTTATGAACTCAGGTACCGAGGGGAGCTGGAGCTCCTCTCGTATACTTTTATTCTTAGCCCTTTGCAGGGTGGTGCCCCGGACAATTCGTCGAAGGATAGAACTCTGGAAGCTCTGTAGTCTCTTGAGTGTTGAGTTGTATAGGTAGCGCAGGAGAGGGGCCCCGTGAAGCATCGTGGGTCTTATAATGGCCTTATAGATTTGCAGTTTTAGTCTCAGTGAGAGCTGCGGCGAATTCAGTAGATGGTAGAGGCGATGGGCCAGCTTGATCCTCTGCCTGACGTGACTGAAAAAGGTTAAATGAGTATCCATTGTGACGCCGAGGTAGACGATTGAAGTGGAGATTTTCTGGTCAACTTCTCCGACGGTGAACATGTTGGGCAGTGGCTTCTTTCCCTTCTGGAACGACATGACTATGGCATCAGTCTTCGCGGGGTTCACTCTGATACCGATTGCTTCTAGTTCTTCTATGATGGTGGCTGAGGCTTTCTGTGCCCGAGTGAGCGCAGTCTTCGCATTGAGGCTGGATGCGTAGATGCCGATGTCGTCGGCGTACGCTGCTACCATCGCTCCTGTATGCTTGAGTGCCACTACTGGTGCCGTGAAGACGACGAACAGTATTGGCCCTAGCACAGACCCTTGAGGTACTCCACAGGTGGTATCGACTGGGTTTGAGCAGTCTGTGCCAACTCGTACGACGAGAGATCTTCCGCTGAGGTAGCTTCGGATCATTCGGCATAGAGTGGCAGGAAATCTGAACTCTTCCAGGCGGCGGAGTAGATGCGTGTGGGACACGCAGTCAAAGGCCTGGCTGCAGTCCAAGGAGATGAGCGCCGTAGCTCTGTTGAGACTCATCTCGTCTAATGTATGGGCCTGGAGTTTCGCTAAATGATGTTCACACGAGACCCCTCTCTGAAAACCAGTCTGCTCTGGTGGTATGACTTCATTCTTCCAGCAGTGCTTCATTAGGTGGTGATGAATTAGCCTCTCAAAAATCATGCTGATGTGCGAGAGGAGGCTGATCGGACGATAGTGCTCTGCTAAGTCCCCTTTCTTCGCCGGTTTGAGTAGCGGTACTACGATCGCTTGTTTCCATGCCTTGGGAAAGTATGAGATTCGGAGGCATGAGTTTATCAACCTCAATCACTACATTTATATAGGTAGGTCTCCAAATCCCATTGGTCCAGACCTGGGCGGTTGGTATGCGCTCTGGTGGACCGTTTCGGCGTCACGTCCCCTCTCCCTAGAAGTAAGAGAGAGAGTTTGGGTGGGGTAGGGGGAAGCTCCCGCTCCAGCGTGTATTTGTGAATGTATGTGTGTGTGTGTAAATATTAGTATAAACACATTTATATCAATTCTGTGATCCATCCATTGACCTCAATGACGAATTTCAGCATTTACTATCAAGTGGCTGTTTTCCTTAAAATTATGTAATACCATTTAGAAACACTGATTTGTGCATGTATTTATACTTGATAATTTCTGATTCTGTTATAACAAAATAACCCATATCCGGAGGCAGTCAGACCTCCAGTGTACCACTCTCCTCATACCACCCTCCCTCCACCCTCGGAAAAAAAAAATTAGTATTGATCACTATCTCCATTTCTTTTTTTAGCTCGAGTACCTTCGTCATCTGATTGGTAGATGTTTCCGAGGTTTTAAGATCGTTGAAAGTTAACAAACGATTTGTGGCCCTGTAAAGGGCCATTGAAAAGAGAAGGTCGAGAGGCTTACCAGCCATTGGGCTTATGAGCTCTTCTCTGTCTTCTTCGGCAGCAGAACGGCCTGGATGTTGGGAAGTACTCCGCCTTGAGCGACGGTGACTCCCGACAACAGCTTGTTCAACTCCTCGTTGTTCCTTATGGCGAGCTGGAGGTGATGCGGGATGATCCTAGTCTTCGTGTTACCACGAGCTGCGTTGCCGGCCAACTCGAGAACTTCGGCAGCCAGGTATTCCATGACTGCTACGAGGTACACCGGAGCTCCTGCTTCCACCCTCTCGGCGTACTAGGACTAGATCTATCAGTGTGTCCATCTTCGTCATTTTTTTTTTTTTTTTTTTTTTTTTTTCTCACCCCCCAGGAATTTTTATTAATACATTTACAATATACATATGAGGCAGTATATACAAATTTCAGAGCCTTTCTTTACCCGTAGGTATTTTAAGGTATGAGGGATAGGGTCTGCTGTGTGCATTTTTCTCTTTAGCGGCATGGAGCCTTACATTTTCTATTTGAACAGGGAGGGACTGCTCATCTAGTTACAAAAAATAGAAACTTAAAACTACAAACTAAAACAAAGAACTAAAAACTAAAAAACTACAAACTAATGTTACGGGTATGGACTGCAGTGTCCAGACCCCTTCCCTCGGCGAGTACATCCACCAAGGGGACCTTGCGCTGCCACCTCCCGGGCCTGGGTGGTGGGGAGATATCTTTGAAGAGTGGGTTGACCTTCCTGAACATTCCAGCAGCAGCAGCAGAAGAAGAAGGACCTCCTCATCTTTACTATTCTCTGCCAGCTACTCATCATCTTCTTACCAAGTTCAGCGCCTTAAGCTGTTGAGGGCCACACTTATCCCGTGGAACTCAACCTCGACAGCCAATCGGGCAGCGTTACGCTTGTAAGAAGGTAGCTGCTCTACTACTCTATTGAGTAAGGGCAGCGTCGCCCCTACAAGCCGAACAAGAGTGTAGCAACCGTGTGAAGAGATGGTGCTCGGCAATAACGATGAAGAGAGATCCTCCAAGAGGCAGCATCCGCCGGACAGCCAAGGCTTCAGGGAGGTCCCGAAGAAGAGAACCTTCGAGCCCCGACCAATAGCCCAACCCGCCCCTACACCTGTTTCAAACAGGTATGATGTTATTAGGCCCCAACCTGAAAAGAAGACAGCCAGATTACCGCCGCCGATTATTATAAACCCGCCGGTCTCCCAACGGTCCGTTAAGGAGATGCTCAACTCGGTGGGGATTACAAAATTCTCAACAAACTCATCTGCTAAGGAGATCCGGGTGTACCTGGAGACCGAAGCAGACCATAATAAGGCCGTTTTTTTAATGAGGGGACACAACAGTGTCCAATTCCATTCCTTTGCCCCTCGGGGTACCCCCCGATCGAACAAATATGTCCTGTACGGGTTCGACCTGGCGACCGACATGGACTACGTGAGTGAAGACCTCAAGGCCAACCTACCAGGTTTCAAGATGGCAAGAAGGCTCACCAAAATTCAAGAGGGACGACGGTTTAAGATAGAACCGATACTGTGCATCACGGAGCACACAGTAAAAATCTCTCACATAAGAGCGCTCCGAAACATCTGTCACACTCGCTTCCGTGTGGCAAAGTTTAAGGAAGATGGGGCATCCGCCCAGTGCAGAAACTGTATGCAGTATGGCCACATCATGAAATATTGTGGCCGTGTCTGCGCATGCCCGCATTGTGGAGACGCTCACACGGTGGACAAATGTCCCCGTGCTAACACAGCTCCCCCGAGATGCCTCCACTGCCAAGGTCCCCCCCTCGCCTCATCGAAAGAGTGCAGCGTAAGGAGGGAAATAATGTCCAAAAGAAGAGAAGAAGATGCTGCTCCTCAGAAAAAAGGCCGAAAACCCAGCCGGCTCATAGAACAGGGACTGCCGTACTCTACGGCCAGTGGAGGTGAGCCGGTCCAATCAGGAGCGGCCGCTCGACCCCACCACCAGGACACCCCCCACCACCAGACTCATCTCCTCCCTCGGATACCCCAGCCAACAGTCCACGACCAACCGGCAGTACCTAGCAAGACGCCGAGGATTCAAGACCACCAGCTCACCGACCTCGTGATGCAGATGATGACGAGGATGGACAACATGATAACCAGGCTCATCGAGACGGTGATGACCTCCAGGAGACATGACTGAGCACCTCGTCATCAATTATAATATCCGAGGCCTCTCTCAGAAGCAGGCGAACACCACTCCAGCAGCAGCAGCAGAAGAAGAAGGACCTCCTCATCTTTAATATTCCCTGCCAGCTACTCATCGTATCTTCTTACCAAGTCCATCGCCTTAAGCTGTTGAGGGCCACACTTATCCCGTGGAACTCAACCTCGACAGCCAATCGGGCAGCGTCACACTTGTAAGAAGGTAGCTGCTCTACTACTCTATTGAGTAAGGGCAGCGTCGCCCCTACAAGCCGAGCAACCCTACAAGATGACAACAAAAGTGCAGCAACCTTGTGAAGAGATGGTGCTCGACCCGACCGAGCAAGAGAGATCATCCAAGAGGCAGCATCCGCCGGACAGCCAAGGCTTCAGGGAGGTCCCGAAGAAGAGAACCTTCGAGCCCCGACCAATAGCCCCAACCGCCCCTACACCTGTTTCAAACAGGTTCGATATTATAAGGCCCCAACCCGAAAAGAAGACAGCCAAATTACCGCCGCCGATTATTATAAACCCGCCGGTCTCCCAACGGTCCGTGAAGGAGATGCTCAACTCTGTGGGCATCGTACGATACACGACCAACTCCTCTGCGAAGGAAATCCGGGTGTACCTGGAGACCGACGCAGACCACCACAAAGCCGTCATGCTCATGAGGGGACACGACAGTGTTCAGTTCCACTCATTCGCTCCCAGAGGTACCCCACGGTCGAACAAATATATCCTGTACGGATTCGACCTCGCGACGGAGATAGAGTATATATGCGAAGAACTGAAAGAGAATCTCCCAGGCTTCAAGATGGCCCGCAGGCCAACGAAAACTTTTGACGGGCACAGTCACATAATCGAGCCCATATTATTAATCACAGAGCACACTGTGAAGATAAGCCACATAAGGGGGCTGAAGAACATCTGCCACACGCGCTTCCGTGTGGCAAACTTCAAAGAAGACGGGGCACCCGCCCAATGTAGGAACTGCCTACAATACGGCCACATTATGAAATATTGTGGCCGTGTTTGTGCATGCCCTCATTGCGGAGATGCCCACACGCTGGACAAATGCCCTCGTGCAAAAATAGTGCCTCCTAAATGCATCCACTGCCAAGGACCTCACCTCGCCTCGTCAAAGGAATGTGCTGTGAGGAGAAGCATCATAACCAAAAGAAGAGAAGAAGATGCTGCTCCTCAGAAAAAAGGCCGAAAACCCAGCCGGCTTGTAGAACAGGGACTGCCGTACTCTACGGCCAGTGGAGGTGAGCCGGTCCAATCAGGAGCGGCCGCTCGACCCCACCACCAGGACACCCCCCACCACCAGACTCATCCCCTCCCCCGGATACCCCAGCCAACAGTCCACGACCAACCGGCAGTACCCAGCAAGACGCCGAGGACTCAAGACCACCAGCTCACCGACCTCGTGATGCAGATGATGACGAGGATGGACAACATGCTCAACATGATAACCAGGCTCATCGAGACGGTGATGACCTCCAGGAGACATGACTGAGCACCTCGTCATCAATTATAATATCCGAGGCCTCTCTCAGAAGCAGGCTGAACTTGAGCTCCTACTGCAGCAGCACCGACCTACAGTTGTGGCGCTGACAGACACCATGCTATCCGCATCGTCTCGTCCATATTTTCACGGCTACACTATGTACCGGGAGGTGTGTACGGCGGGATCCCTGGAAGGCGTAGCTATCCTGGTCAGAAGAGACGTACCATCGAGAGTCGTCCCGAACCCAGTGGCGAGTACCGAGGGAACTCATCTGGTCACAGTTGACGTGCGATTGAAAAATCGATTCACGTTCACCTGTGTCTATAAGAGACCGAGGGCCATACTGACATCTGTGAAACTCCTGTTGCAACACGCTCAGACGGTGAGTCGGCATGTAGTCCTTGGGGACTTCAACGCTAGACACACCGCCTGGCTGTGTAGCAGTAACAACCCACTGGGAACGTATGTCACTAAGACCAGGTTGGCCGTCTTTCACCCCGGAGTGCACACCTTCAGGCATGCAGCGCAGCCCGACCGCACTTCAACGCTCGACCTGCTACTGACCAGAGATCTACACACCATCACGGACTGCCAAGCCCTTCCGTATGGCCCATCAGATCACCGGCCCGTGCTCTACACCATGGAGGGCACACCAGCCACACCACCGGCTACAAAATATCTGCTGTGCAAGGCCGACTGGAAAGGATACAGGTCCTGCGTTGAAGAGGCACTCCCCACCATCACACCCTGCAGAACACGAGACGACGTGGATAGAGCTGTGGATGTCATCACCAACACTATCCAGGAGTCAGCCAACAGGAACATCCCCAGGTTCTCTCCGCAGCCCAACGACCTCAGGAAACCCCCACGGCACATCCTCGCTCTGATTGGCCAGCGGAACAATCTAAGGAACATCTTCCAGCGCACGCGTGACTATAGCCTGAAGCCGGCCATCAACGCGATGACCCGACAGATAGCCAGCCTCATGCGTGACTGGAAGACGTCACTCTGGCACGAGCAGTTACGGAGGACCCACGACGACCATCGCCAGTTCTGGAGACTCGTCAGGACCTTCGTCAGTAAGAGGAGGAACGTGCACTTGACATCGGGGAACGAGCTGCTGACACCTGAGGAACAGGCTGTACTCCTGGCCCAGAGCTATGCAGCGAAGGACGATGAACGGACGTGTAGTGCTCCACCCATACCGGAGGGACCACTACCTTGTCCCAACGAGAAGCCCATTTTCTCCACTATCAACCAGCTTGAGTCGGTACTAAGACGAATCAAGGGAAACAAAGCCTCCGGACAGGATGAGATCCCGTACGTTATGATGAAGATGCTCCCTAGAAAGGGCAAAGCCTTTCTATTGAACATCTTTAACTCGTGCCTACGAATCTCATACTTTCCGAATGCCTGGAAACGAGCGATCATAGTACCGTTGCTCAAGCCAGCGAAGAAAGGAGACTCGCCAGAGCACTACCGCCCGATCAGCCTCCTCTCGCACATCAGCAAGGTTTTTGAGAGACTGATACAACATCACCTCATCAA